CATATCTTACCATTCTGGATCTCTTTCTTATTTCTTCCGTCTCCTAAATTGACTTAAGTAATTTTTGCACCACTTCTTTGATTAACCCGAGTCTCCCAAATGCGGCGTCTCACTGCAAAGGCGGCTCAGTTCATTCCACTCCATTTCTTTCAGGACGGGCTGGACCAGGTTTGGGGCGGCCAATCCCAAATCTGCCCCTTAGGATTTGGGGACGCCTTTCTCATCTCGGGGCGCTCCATCCTCCCAGCGAGGTCGGTGAGCTGAAAGCAGACATGAAGGAAGCGGGCCCTCCTGGCTTATTTGCATACCCTCGTGCTATTGGTCGGAAGGGCGACCAATGGGTGGCTCCGGTGTGTGCCCGGTTCCTGCTCCGCGCCGCCGGGTGATGTAATGGAAGGCGGCCCTGCGCGTGGGCTCCCTCGGGTCAGCCTCGTGACGTAGAGGCTTCCCCGGCTCCAGCCCGCCCGGCCCGGCCTGGCGGGGGGCTGGGCAGCCGCCCCCGAGGACGTGGCGCGGGACAGGGCCGAGGCCGGGCCCCGGCGCTGCAGCGGGGCCCAGCCCTCTCAGTTCCGGCCCGGCGTTCCGGCCTCGGCTCCTCCAGGAGGCCCGGCGCGCCAGATCGCATCTGGCGACGTGGAGAGAAATCTGGAAGCAGACACCAGGAGATTACCAAACCCGACTCCCCCGGGAGTGGATTACCGGCCTCTCACGCCGTAAATCACGCAGTTCTCTAACGTTTTGCATTCGTGTACAGCGAGCGTGTTTGATTTTGTAATGAAATGGTTACAGAGGATTTCTGTTTGTTATTATTAAAGAGCCTGGCTTGGATCTAGAGGAAATCTAGGCATTAATTTCAGCCTGGTGACCTTGGCCACTTTTTACTAGCTGGCCCTGATGCCTTCCATGGCAACCAGGAAAGAGCAAATGTACAGGCATTAAACCCCCCCCCCCCCCCAAAAAAAAAAAATCCTTCAGCCTTGGGAGGTCCAGTCTCTCTCTTCACTCTGTGCTCCATGTTCTCTTCCTCCAGGAAGGCCTCTCAGATTAACCCTCCAGATTCCACCCCAATGCTAGCTCGAGGTCTCTCGGACCTTCTGGCAATGTTTTCATAACCACTCTTGTGCCCTGCCTTCCATCAGATTAGGAACTAGGTTTCTGCCGCACAGTCTTGTCCTTCTCCCTTAGGAATTTTCCATAATGTGGGACAGCACTGGCTAGGGCATCTTTTCCCCCTCTGGTCCTAGCTCCTGAGCCATGCACATAGTTGACCTTTTCTTTCCTCAGTTTTCCTATCCACAATAGGGGCTGTGTGGTAGTTACTGGAACTTGTATAGAAAGAGGAGGGGCTGAGGTATGAAGGAACAAGGTGGTGGGTAGAAACTAGAGCACTGTTCTGGAAGTCAGAAGACCTGGGCTGTGGTTCTGTCATGGCCACTGACTTGAGTCAGGGAGACCACAAGGGGGTTGAAATGTACTGGACATTGTGATGCACTAAGAGGTGACAGCGCCCCCATCATCTGGGCAGTTCCTCAAGCTCCCCACCCCCCAATAAACATACCAGCTGGGCAAAGCCAGGTGAGCGCTTCGCATGTGCAGCTTGCAGATAAGTTCCCCAGCCTGCCTTCCCCCAAGTCCTATGTAGAAATGGCAGGTCTGCTACCATGTGCCAGACTCCTTGCTGCATTCTTTATCTCGACCCTGTGAGATGGTTATGCTATCATCCTCATGTTTCAAACGAAGAAACTGAAGCCCTTGCCGAAACCGGTTTGGCTCAGTGGATAGAGCGTCGGTCTGCGGACTGAAAGGTCCCGGGTTCGATTCCGGTCAGGGGCATGTACCTTGGTTGCAGGCACATCCCAGGTAGGGGGTGTGCAAGAGGCAGCTGGTCGATGTTTCTCTCTCATCGATGTTTCTAGCTCTCTATCTCTCTCCCTTCCTCTCTGTAAAAAATCAATAAAATATATTTTAAAAAAGGAAGAAAGAAAGAAAGAAAGAACTGAAGCCCAGAGAAGGTGAGTAACTTCCCTGAAGCTACACAGTTCCTAATAGCTGAACCAGTGTCAGTCTCAGGCCTCTTGAACGTATGTGCTCCTACCACCTCGCACCATTGTCATGAGCCACACAGGTAGGATTTAGCATTACATATTTTTAAAAAATATATATATTTTATTGATTTTTGTACAGAGAGGAAGGGAGAGAGATAGAGAGTTAGAAACATCGATGAGAGAGAGTCATCGATCAGCTGCCTCTTGCACACCCCCTACTGGGGATTTGCCCGCAACCAAGGTACATGCCCTTGACCGGAATCGAACCCGGGGCCCTTCAGTCCCCAAGCCGACGCTCTATCCATTGAGCCAAACTAGTCCCAGCTAGCATTACATATTTTATAGAATATTTTATTTGATTATAAAACAGGAGAGTATACAATAAAGCCAAGTTATGCCGAAGTATTTATAGAAGGGAAAGACCTCTGTGGGCTGGAAGCCTTCGTGGAAAAACTGGTAACTGAGCCTTTGAAAAAAAAAGAAAAGAAAAATCCTTCCTGTCCAAATAAATGTATTTCTCCTACGCAGGCAAAATATTTTTAAAGTGTGTTTCAAAAGTTAGGTTTCTGGAAAAAGAAAAAGAAGAGGTGGGGGTGGTGCCTTTTTAAAAAAGTCCATTTGGAAGGAACACCTGGGGCAGGAAGGAGAGGAGGGTGGCAGGGGAGGGAAAAGCCAGCCCCGTGGCTCGCTCACTTCCTCTTGCCATTTTTGAAGCCTTGGTTTCTTTCTCTCTGTTTTGGCCTAATCCTTGAATGTGGAAGAGAAATGTAAAGGTCCTGAGAGGTGGTTTTGAGATAAGCCAGAGATCCGTGGGGTCCTTATGGAGAATGAGAGAAAGGGGCTTCAGATTTGCAGCAGGAGTTTAGGACGGGTCCAGAAAAAAAGGATTTCTGGACATTGGCAAGGCCTGGGGGAGAGGCATGTGGCCCTGGAATGAGGGCTGCGTGGAGATGGGGGGCCCATTGTGGAGAGATTCTTTGCTGCATGGGACCTGCTGGGTGCTGGGGATTGGGTGATATGCTCATAATTTAAGGTGGTGACTGAAATGAGCAGTCGCTGGTGGCTGGTGCTGCAGAGCACAGGACTGGGTCCCGCTGAATGGGCCTTTTCCACTGGGCCTGCCTGCCTGGCAGTATAGGAGCAAAGAAGGTAGGCAGTATAGGAGCAAAGAAGGTAACCCCAGCTCCTCCTGCTTCCAGCTCCTCCTGCCTCCAGCCCCACTGCTCCGGCCTTAACCTGGCTTCCCTGAGTCAGCCACAGTGAAGTGGGTAAGTTGCTGGAGAAGGATTTGCTCAGAACAAGATGGTTTTCCCATTTCCAAATAGTGAACCAATCAGGTGGGAGAGAGAAACCTTCCAAGCACTCCCACTGTCAGATGGCTCTTAAGGGTGAGCCTGTGCTTGGAGACTATGGTCAGATGGGGGTTCTCTCTCAGGGCTTCCTGCCCTCTGGGGTGAACCTCTGGGTATTATTCCTGCCATTTGGGAAGTCAGACTCCAAAAGGGGAGCAAGGAGGAAAGTTTGAGTGCCTACTGTGTACAAGTCACCTCCACAGCTGTTCAATTATCCAGAAAACCAGAAAAGGTGGATCATATTAATATCCTCATTTTAGCCCTAACAGGTTTGGCTCAGTGGATAGATAGAGCGTCAGCCTGTGGACTGAAGGGTCCCGGGTTCGATTCCAGTCAAGGGCATGTACCTTGGTTGTGGGCACATCCCCAGTAGGGGGGTGCAGGAGGCAGCTGATCGATGTTTCTCTCTCATAGATGTTTCTAGCTCTCTATCCTTCTCCCTTCTTCTCTGTAAAAAAATCAATAAAATATATTTTTTAAAATATCCCCATTTTAAGGTAAGGAAACAGGTTCATAGTGGTGAAGTGACTTGCCCTCCGTGGTGGGCAAACTTCGGTTCTCGAGCCACATGTGGCTCTTTGGCCCCATGAGTGTCTCTCTTCCAAAAAAGACCATGGCCTGGGCAAGTCTATTTTGAAGAAGTGGTGTTAGAAGAAGTTTGTTTAAAAAAATTGGCTCTCAAAAGAAATTTCAGTGGTTAATATTTGGCTCTGTTGACTAATGAGTTTGCCGACCACTGCCCTAGATCATACAGTATTATGGGAGTAGCCAGATCAGTGGGTTCCCCAGTGCCTTGCCCTTGCCTTCACTCCTGCCTCTGGGAATGCTTCTCTTGAGGAGAAATTTCACCCTCCAAAAAAGTCCTCTTCTCTGCTAGTAAGTAAGCTGCCTTCTGGCTGGTAGCCCTGGGTTTGGGGGCTTAACCACAATTCCCCCCTTATCCCCCTCCCTCCTAGCTGGGCTCCTGGCCTTTGGGTTGGCATGCAGGCCAAGCAATGCAGATGAGGGTGCCCACAGCTGGCTCAGAGGGACAGCTCTTTGTCCTCTCCAGCCAGCCTCATTGCTGTGTGACTTTGGGCTGCTGCCAAGCCTCTCTGGGCCTCACTTTTTCCACCTCTACCTCGGGGGAAGCCCCAGGTAAACTTATTTATAACTTTAGCTTCAAGTTGGCTGCTTTGGAAGGTGTTAGCAAGGCCGCAGCACCCTAGCCTGAAAGAAGCGGCAGCCCCCCCAGGCGGGTTTGCGGCGGCGGCGGCGGCGGCGGCGGCGGGGCGGGTTATGTAACCGGGTGCAGTGCGCGCGTTGGGGACGGGGGACGCGGGGCGGGGCGCTCGCGGCTATTCCGGGCGCCGCTATTTTTAGCCCATTGATGAGGCTGCGTCGGCTGCCGCGGCCGGGATTCCGGAGACGTCAATGGGCGCGCGTCACGGCCCCTGCCCGCCCGCCGGGGGAGGCGCGCCCGGCTGGGACGGCGGCGCGGGCGGCCGCGGGGCGCGGGGGCGGGGGGCGCGGCTGGGGCCGGAACTGCGGGGCGGGGGGCGCCCCGGGGGCGGCGGGGGGCGCGGCGGCTGCAGCGCGAGAAGGCGGCGGGGCTCGTGGGGGCCCCCCGCGCGGCGTCCGCGACCCCCGGGCATGGGCGCTCCCCCGCGGCCGGCCGGGGTGCGAGCCCGGAAGGCGGGGATGCAGAGGCGAGCGGAGCTCCCAGCCCAGGTGAGGGGCCGGGCGGGGCGGGGCGGGGGCGCCGTGGTCCCGGGGTGACCCGGGAAGAAGGGTGTCTTGCAGACATCCCGGGGGAGCTGGAGCCTGGTGGCGAGTCCCGCTTGGACGCCGGGCGGCGTGGGGTTGGGGGGAGGGGGTGGTGGTGGTGGGAGAGGCACTGGGTTCCCAGCGGAGCCTCCTCGCTCCGGCTCAGTCCCGGAGTGCGGCGGCCAGCTCCTCTCTCCCCGGCCGCCAAGGGTGGGGTTTGGCCGGCGAGGGCGCTGGAGGTGGCCAGGCCAGAGACATTCCTTCCACTTCCCGCCGGCTGCAGGGAACGGGTTCCAGGAGTTCGGGAGCTCGGCTGCCAGGATGCCCCCTGCGAGGGACCAGGATTGCCACATGCAACGTCTTCGTGGGACGCAGTGGAGAAACCGAGGCCGGAGAGGGTCTCACGGAGCCAGAAGCGGACCCGGGCCTGGAAATGCCCCGTGGTGGCATGTACAGTGAAGTATTGATTTGGGTTCGGGGCTAGTGGTAGGGGAATGCCAGGAAAACGAAGGCTGGGCAGAGACTCTGTTCACAGCATTTCTGCCCAAAAGCTGCTCATGGACTTGGGGGGGGGGGGGGCTGAGGACAGCCTGGACAGGGACCCTACTGATGGCCACACGGCTGGCTTGCTTTGTCCTAGACTTGCTCCAAGTGAATGGCTAATTCAGGGACTTGGGGGAAGACTGAAAAGGGAGGCCAGTTGTTCCTTTGAGAGACCGAGAGCTGAGAGGAATGACATGTGTACAGTAGGTAGGATAAAATCAAGAATCCAAACGATGGCGGTCTAGGAGAAGGGTGGACCAGGAGTAACGAGATGCACATGACTGATTATAAATGTTGAGACCTGTGCTGGAGTTAGGAAAATTAGGTCAGGAATGCAGGCCCAGCAATCCAGGCCCTGGAGCTTCCCACATGCTGTCTGGTGTTGGCTGTCAAACTGCTCTGCAGTCAGAGACCTCTACCCACTACACAAGCCCCAGGGGGAGTGGAATGCCTGCCCGGGGGCCCCCTGGGTCCTAAGTCCAGCTTTGCCTCTTTCTCGCTGTGTGACCTTGGGCAAGGTGCTGAACGGCTTTGTGCCTCAGTTCCCTTCTTGGTAAAATGTTCTTAATAATCATCCCTTCCACACAGTGGTGGGAGGCTGAAATGAGAACATATACATAAAGTGCTTAGCAATGTATCTGGCACACGGTGCTCAGCATATGTCAGCTGCTGTTGTTAGTGTGTGTTAAAGCGATATGCCCATTTCTGGGCGGAACGTTGGCCAATGCACACAGCTTAGGAGCCACCAGGGCTGCAGAGGGCCTGCCAGTCGTGTCCTGTTGCAAGGGGGAGTTTAGACCCAGAGGCTGTAGGAAAGAGAAGGAAGGACGTGTCAGGTGGGCCCAGGCAGAGCAGAGACCCAGAGCTGAGGGCTCTTGGAGTCAGGGCTGTGACTCATCACAGTGAGTCACAGCCCCACGTGGAAGGGACTGCTCTCTGGCTGCAATGGCCTTCCCACCTCCTTCCAGGCGACTGGCTGACCCCCCTCCCTCTCCCAGCCCAGGCCACGGCGGGCATGTGTGAGCCCTCCTCTCCCAGAATTCCACAGATACTTACTAGAGGGCCTGCTAGTGCTGAACTCTGTTTTATTTACTTTAAACTCTGTTTTATTTATTATTGATTTCAGAGAGGAAGTGAGGGGGGGGAAAGAAGGGGGGAAGAGAGAGAGAGAGAGAGAGGGAGGGAGGGAGGGAGGGAGGGAGAGAGAGAGAGAGAGAGAGAGAGAGAGAGAGAGAGAGGACATTAGTGATCAGAGAGAATCATTGATTTTCTGCCTCTTGCACAGCCTTGACTGGGGATGGAGTCAGCAACCTGGGCATGTGCCCTGACGGGGAATCTAACCAGACTTCCTTGGTTCAGAGGTTGATGCTCAACCACTGAGCCACACCAGCTGGGCTGAACTCTGTTTTAGAGACTGAAGAATGCAGGGTTTGAGAGAGACAAGTGAATAGCTTTAGTCCTACGGAGATAATAAAAACAGGTTCAAGTGGTAGGATGAGGGTGTAGGCTCTGCAAGAAAATGATGGATGAGGAGGAGAGAGCTGTACAGACATCCGGGGAATGCTTTCCTGGCGGAGGAACAGACAGTGCAAAGGCCCTGAGTGAGGAAAGAAGGCCCGTTTGGCTAGAGCTCAGCTGGGTACATGACGTCTGGCCTGATGCTCCCACCGCGTTTGGCGGGTTCCACTTTTTCTCCCTCCCAGCCCTCTCGGTCCTTGGGTTGCCCCGTGCACAGTGCTGATTGTAAGTGACCTTGATTCACCCCCGTGGTAGCCTCCTGTGGCCCAGGGGTCTTGCTTTGTTCCTTCTTGGGCCTCCCACTGTTCATGGCTCACTGCTGGGCTCCCACGAAAAGTGTATGAAATGGCTGTGGAGGAAGGACATTGATCTGGGAGAGGAGCTAGGATCAGGGCCTTGTCTGAGACGTTAGGAATCACTGCCCAGGCACCGGTGGGCCCCTGGCTCTGGCCCCCGTTTTCAGGCACAGGTGGGAGGCCTGGGCGCTTGGACTGGGCCTGACGGCTAGGAAGTGTTTGTCCCTCTGACCTTCCTCCTCAGCTGTGGGCTGGAAGGGAGAGGAGGAAGGCGGGCATAGGGCCTGCCCGCAGACCTCTCCTGGGGTATAGGAGGTGATGACGTCATTCTGGGAAGCAGGGGTAGCATATGGGCCGGGGCAGGTTCGAAGCTGATTTTTGCCTCCTGTTTGGGGTTGGAAGCTCTCCAGCTGTTCCAGACTGCCCTCCCTTCCTTCCCTGAGGCCCTCACTCGGTGCTCCCACCACACCCATAGGAACGGGGTGCTGGTGGCGCTGTAAGGGGAGTCTGAGTGCCCTGGGCCAGAGAGGACCCCTTTGCTGAGGACCCTGGGGCAAAAGTCAGGAGGGCGAGGGAACCTGCCGCCCACCCTCTGGGGCCCTCTCCTTCCTGCTTCCTCTGCCTCCCATCGTGGAAACATCTACTTCTCTTTCCCCAGACCTCGCCGGGGCCTGCAGGGCAGCCTGGTAACAAGAGAGCGCCAAGCCTTGGCTGGTCCTGCCCTCTGGGGCTCCGCTGAGAGAGAAGAGGGTTGAGTAAGGGTGGGGACAGGGAAGGAGTGCGCTGGCTGAAGGGGGCTCTGGCTCCAGTGCTGTCAGCGGGAAGAGTCTGGAAAGGCTAAAGAGGCGGGACACACAGTTGGCCCCAGAAGCACAGGAGAGGCTAGGAGATGCCCAGAGTGGCTTGGAACCAGGTCTGAGGTTGGCCTTGATGTGTCCACATTGAATTTCTCTCCAAATTGATATCCCATCTGTGCCTAGCACTGTTCTAAGCCCTTTACGTGTAGCTCATTTTAAGCCTGACGATAACGCTATGGCTGTTAATTTTAGACACGCCAATTACAGATTGCCATTTTTACGGAGCAGGAACAAGCGGCACAAAGAGTTATGTAACTCGCCCAAGGCTGCAAGGGATGAAGCCCGGATGTGAAACCAGGGCATCCTGCCCTTCACTCCTCTACTCCAACCTGGGCCTCCCCCTGTGGGGACTGACGTCCCTCCACCGAATATTCCTGAGAGTCCTCATTGCTCTGGTTACAAGGCTGGGCAGGCTGCCTGGAGTTGGGGTCACGGAGCTCCCCCCTGCCTAGAGGGCCTCTGAGGCTTTGGGGGCGACAGTGCAACCCTTGGGGAGAGAAGGTATTCTGCTCTGTCCTCACAACCGTTCTCTTTTCTCTGCTTACGAATGCCCCTTTGTGCGTCTCAGGGGGCTGCGAGCTGGATTGAGGCACCCTCACCCCAGAGTAGGGAGTAAGGCTGAGGGGCTGGGTACTGCCATGCGTTGCCATGGTCTGGAGATGCCCCAGATGTGGTTAGCATCTGCTGGCCACAACCCCAAGAACTGTTTGCCTAGGGCCATGGTCGGCAAACTGCGGCTCGTGAGCCACATGTGGCTCTTTGGACCCTAGAGGGTGGCTCTTCCACAAAATACCACGGCCTGGGCGAGTCTATGTTGAAGAAGTGGCGTTAGAAGAAGTTTATGTTTAAAAAATTGGCCTCTCAAAGGAAATTTCAATCGTTGTACTGTTGGTGTTTGGCTCTGTTGACTAATGAGTTGCCGACCCCTGGCCTAGGGCACAGGATCCACGCTCTGATGCCCAGCCTTGGGCTGGCTTATCCCCCTGGCAGCCTGGGTCCTGCCCCTGTCCCTACAGCTGTGTGTGCTGGTCTGCGCTGTCTCCTGGGAAGGCCCCTGCTGGCTGGTTTCTTCTCCGTCATGCTGACTCCCCTCTGTAGGCCTCACCATGGACAGAGGCCAGCTCCAGCCCTGCCTGGCGCCTGGCTCCTTTGGCCAGGCCCTGAAGATCCGGAGGATGGTTTGAGGATTGCCCAAGGCCTGGCCATCCATCGGAGTGGTAAGTGCTCTGCTGCTGCTCTCTGTCTACCCCTGGGGCCCCGAGCAGGTGGGGTTGGGGGGCAGAGGTGGGTGTGGAGCCGCCTGAGGTGGATGTGGTTTGGGGGGCGGACGGGGAAGCCCTGAAGAGGTGGTGGGCGAGGTGCTGCTCGGCACGGGGAGAGCTGAGTTTCGGTGGTGGGGTGATGTGGGGGTGTGGAGGGGGAAGCCTCATTTTCTCAGCAGGATAGGTGGAGGGGGGCACGCCGGGCCCTGTGACATGGGGTGCTGGTGGGGGTGGGGGTGGAGGGTGGCAGCGACTCTCAGGGCAGCATGTGCCCCGTTCCAGGAAGCTGAGGGGGTGGAGTCGGGTAGATCAGGGCTACATCGCTGGGAGTGTAGAGGGGCAGACGTGGGGGATGGGGAGCTGGCTTGTTTCTGGGGTGCAGGCACTGCCCCAGGAGGGGCATGAAGGGAAGGCGGGGTTACCCCATTCCTCCCTGACCACCCCCTGCCTACGATGGCTGTCCTGAGGGTCCTGTGAGGTCTGGTAGTGGAGGTGCCTCTGTGAATGGGAAGGATCTTGCTAACCAAGGACTGGGAGAGACCCCCTTCCCTACCACTATTTTTAAAAATATATATATATTTTATTGATTTTTTACAGAGAAGAAGAGAGAGGGATAGAGAGTCAGAAACATCGATGAGAGAGAATCATCGATCAGCTGCCTCTTGCACACCCCCCACAGGGGATGTGCCCGCAACCAAGGTACATGCCCTTGACCGGAACCAAACCTGGGACCCTTCAGTCTGCGGGCCGACGCTCTATCCACTGAGCCAAACGGGTTTCGGCCCCCGCCACTATTGATCCAGCATTCCTGAGGGGGGAGATCTCAGTCTGGTGGACATGGCCAGAGGGATCCTCGGATGAGGGACTGGGTTACAGAGGGGAGAAGTGACTTTTCCAGGTCCTACGGTGAGGACATGTAGAGCCAGGCTCAGAGTCCAGGCTCCTGGATTCCAGGCAAGCCCAAACCCAGAGGCCTGATCTGCTGTGAGGACACACCTTGTCTGAGCATGCTCCCAGAGAAGGCACGAGCCGATCTGCAGATGGGGAGGGGGGGGGGGGGTCATTGGAATGGCATTTCCATCAGCCCTGTCTCTGGGGACCTGGGAGACTGGGATGGGCCAGGGGCACCGTAGTCCTGGTTACCGTGTTTACCTGAGGTAGCTGGAGTTCACCCTGGCACCCTGGACAGGGATCCTGTGACCCCCCTTTTCCTTCCCTGGAACGGAGAACAGAGGGCGTCTCTGAGCAACAGCCCCTTGAGGCCTTGGGAGATCTCAGATGAAGCAGGGGCCGGCGCAGTATCTCCCCCCCCCCACCCCCCAAACGCTATTGCCTCCTGGGGAGTTGGTGTTGAGGGTGCAGAGAGCCCCAGAGAGATGGCTGGGCTGGGGAGGGCGGGGTGCCAGGGTGAGCCTGGATGGAAAAGGGAAAGCCCTGGGAAGCTGGGCCTCCGTTTCCAGGGCTGCCCTGGCTGTGCACCTGGCCTCATGCTGGCAGCAGGCTCTGTGCCACCAGCCTCAGGCCCGGGCAGGAGAGGAATTAGTGTAAGCGGGAGAGGCAGGTGTGTCCGGTCAGCCGGGGATCACGCCGTGGGAAGCACGTGAGTGAAGGTGGCAGCAGTGGGCCAGGTATCCCCCCCATGCCCTCGGCCCCCACCTCTACCCTCAGCTCAGACCTGGCATCCTGAGCTCCCAGCCTTCCCTCTGGGTACACGGCAGCCCCCACGACAGGGTTTCTCATGTTCCCCTCGTTGTCTGGGTGGCCGGACGAATCTCTCATGTCAGACACCCTGCCAAGGCCACGTTGCGGGGCTGCCAGCTGGGGCCCCGTGAGTGCAAGAGCTGCTGGTCTTGTGACGTGGACACCTGTCTGCCAGGCCCGGGCACGGGCCCAGCGTCACGCTCACACCGGGGCTCCCGTCAGTTGACTATTTTGGGCTCCTGCTGACCTGGGCCAACGTCGGGCTTCAGCCAAGAGGGCCCTGAGGCAGCTCCCCCTGTCCCCAGAGGCCGCTCTGGTTTCTGCTATATAAACAGAGCAGGACACGCTGGCCTGGAGACAGCTCTGCGTCCCGAGCCCGCTCAGCTGGTGCACGGCCTTCCCTGCGCAGGACAGGCTGACTGGGCGGTCACGTCTCTTCCCTCAGGGCTCCCTGAGGCCACGGGAAGAGCCCCCCACCGGGCCCGGGACCCTCCTCCCTCGGTGCAGCAGCTGCCCACGATGAGCCGAAGCCGACTGTGAAGAGGAAACTGGTGAGTCTTAGGAACGGGGACACTGAGGCACAAGAGCTGGGCTATTTGGGTCTTTTCCCATTGAGACTGTCTGCTCTGTGGTTTGTTTGGCCTCGAGAGGAGTCGGGGAGGAGGAGGGAGCAAAGGTGGCCCATGTCCTGAGGAATGAGAGTCAGGGCTTCCCTGCAGTTGGATGATGGGAGCTGGACCTGGGGACCCTTTGTGGTTGAGAACCGGGAGGCGCCATGCCATCTTCCTCCTTCCTCGGAGCTCTCCCACGGGGTCCTGGGCCTCCTCTCTGCCGCCCAGGTGTGGACCCGGCACCGATGTGCTCAGGTGGGGAGGGGCACTGGAGTGAGCCGGTGTCCACCCGGGTACTTCAGCACTGGCTCTTGTGTGGGGTCCCTGGACCCCCAGCTGGCTGGGACTGGGAGGCAGACCCCCGGGCGTGGCTCCCCCGAGCTCCCCGCCCCTGCCCCACTCTCCTTGCCCAGTTCCCCAGCTGGTTTGGGTGCCTGGGAAGCAGAGCTGGAGTGAGGTCTGGCAGGTCGGCCAGCCAGCTTGCCACAAACATGCTCCCCAGGCTCCAGGCCAGCGGCTCCGGCCCGGCCTGGAACAGTCGCAGCTCCTTACGTGGGAGGCTCTTGCGCTCTCCTTCTCAGCGCTTAAAAAAAACAAGACCTTTTCCCCTTTCTGAACGTGAGTCTCTAAACGAATCCAGAGCCTGTGCCTAAAAATACTTTAACAATAGGAAAATGCCTCAGTCTTTCCGGCTGGGGCTCATTATCAGAGCGTTTTTATTTTGGAATTTGAAATGTTGCCCAAGGTGGCTGGGTGGAGACCCCGGGCTGGGGCAGGAGATTTGGGTGGGTGCTGGCTCTTCTGCAGGCTGATGGGAGACCCTCCAAGGGAGGAGGCGGGCATGGCTGGCCAGGAGCGGGGTTTGGAGGAGGGTGCACACGGGGCGTGGGCTGTCCTTTCCCAAAGGAACTCCGTGATCCCGTCTGCGCTTCCCAGCTCTGGCTGTTCTTCCTGAGGTCGAATCTTATTCCTCCGTGCTGTATGTTAATTCCGTCCGGCCGAGAGGGAAGTGGGGTTGAGAAACCGCTGGACTGAACATGACCTCTATGGAGAGAGGCCTGCTTTCTTCAGAGCCTGGGATTTTTTGATGCTGGGTGGAGCCACCTCTCTGGGCACACTCCCACTTCCTTTCACTCAAGCCCTGTTTTTCTCTGGCTCGTAAAGAAGGGGGAGGCCGGCTCCCCAGGTTAGCTGAGGACCCTGGTGTCTGTCTCCTTTCCCTGTGGCCTAGGATCCTGCTACAGGGCCCCGGAACCCCATCCCCAGACGTTGCTCTACTTCATTGTTGAGTCTTGACGAACCCCCCCTAGCAGAGGGAATTCTGGGACTTGAGATGCTGTCTGCTTTGGACAGGTGAGAAACAGTCTCAGAGAGGGCAAGGGCCTGGTCGCACACCAGGTTTGCTGGCTCCTGGTCGCAGATGCCTCTGAGAGCTCCTCCGTCATTTGCCCCGGCCAGGGGCTGGGGGGAGAGGTGGGGGCAGTAGCTAACCTGCTCACATCGCTGGGAGCCTGTTTTCAGGGAGATAACATATGTCCATGGGAAGCCTCCTGGGACAGTAGGCAGCATGGTCCCAGCCCCAGCACGAATCCCCCTGCCCACTGTCCGGGCAGGAAGAGGAAGTGGCCAGGAAGGGGCAGGCAGAGGTCCTGGGGCTGAGGCGGGGAAGGTCCCCTGGCCACTTCTCAGGGAGAGGAGGCAAAGCTCTCTCTCTCTGCCCACCCTGGGGTGGGTGTGGAGGCCCGTGGGTGGGGTTGGTTTTGGTGAAAGGGGGGCAAGTTCCTGCCCTCTGCACAGCAGCGGAGGGGGCACCCTGAGGTCAGGGGCCAGCGTGGGAAAGGGGCCGTGCAGTTCCACTTCCTCCATCCTCTATTCTCTCCACTCCACGCCCTCCCTCGGGGCTGGGAACATGGGCTACCCATTTGGGACGGCTCTGAGGATGCTTGAGGGGCCCTCCTGTCAAGTTGGGGGAGACAGGGCCTTGCTCTCACGTTCACACATTGGTGGGGGAGGGGTGTGGCTGAACACATGATAAGTCCCCCTAAGATGTGACTGGGAGGGGCAAAGGCCTAGTGAGTTGTTCAGAAAACATGCTGCATGTGTGAGGATCCCTCTGTACTGTCAAGGGGTCATGGCCGCTCCCAGCTGCAGTTGTGTTCTGAGGATGTCGCATGAGAACAAGAGCATCATGGGAAGCAGCCGCTGCTCCTCTGTGATTTCAGAAACACACACACACACACACACACGAATGAGTAAATTCCAGCAGCATCTGTACCATATACATACAGATATTGCTTTCACTGAGGCATGACTGTCTTTTAGTTATGCTTTTATTTATTCAAAAAATATTTTATTGATTTTTTTACAGAGAGGAAGGAAGGGGGATAGAGAGTTAGAAACATCGATGAGAGATCAACATTGATCAGGTGCCTCCTGCACTCCTCCTACTAGGTATGTGCCCACAACCAAGATACATGCCCTTGACCGGAATCGAACCGGGGACCCTTGAGTCTGTAGGCCAACACTCTATCCACTGAACCAAACCAGTCAGGGCTACGCTTTTATTTTTGAAAGTATAATATATGTACCACAAAGCATGGCAATGACAGGTGTGATAGTTTAAGATAGTGGTGTTGAACTCAA